TTGCAATCCTTTCAACACATAACCTCTTCCTCTCAGAGTACAGAGTGCAAACTATATTGAGACCTGACCACTTGCCTGCAGAGCCGATAAAAAGAAATGATGAATTTTGAGGTAATAGACAAATCATTGCATAAAATAGAAAATGTGCATCCTAGTATATATGAAAATTTATCCTTTGATGAAGGTGGCATCTCAAATTACTGGAGCAAGAATGGACTCTAAGAAATGGTTTTAGAAAAACTTTATAGCCAATTGGGAAAAAAATCAAAATTAAATCCATATCTCTCACCATACACCAAAAAAATCTAAATAGATTAGAAATCTAAACAAAAAGAATAAAATTATACAATTACTAGAAGAAAAGATTGGGGAAAGGCTTTTTAAATATGATTTAAATTTTTGATGCATTAAAAGAAAAGAGTGATAACTAGGACTAAATAAAACTAAAATACATTTTTTTACAAGAATCAAAAGGCAGATGATAAAGTGGAATACACTATTTATAATATATCACAACTAATAGGTTAATATGTCTAAAATCTTGGAAAAGAGATCAAAAACCTGGTCATAAAATGATATAAAATTAATAAAAAACATGTATAAGAAGATTAAATTTAACCATAAATTAAATGCAAAATAGTATGACAGAAATTTTATTTCCCATCAATAAGATAGGCAAAAATTCAAAAGGTTGACAATATATACTTTTGCAAGACTGTAGGTAAAAGACATTTACATGCATCGATGAAAAGAATGAAAAAGGTACAAAACCTTTGCTTTTTTAAAAAAAATAATCATAAACCAGAGACTGATTTCCAGCATACATTGTTAGGTGTAAAAGCTAGTGGAAAAGATTCTCTACAGTAACCCCTCCTTTGTGTAAAAAAATAAATAAACAAAAAGATGTATGGCAGTTAAAACAATGCATGCATTTGCTTATGTTTGCATAATAAAAATAATCAGAAACTAAAGCTACACGAAACTAAAAATCTTCTGCAAAACAAAGGACACCATCAAAAAAATGAAAAGGCCACCTACCAAATGGGAGAAAATATTTGCAAATCATATAATTGATAAGAGGTTAATATCCAAAATATATGAAGAATGCATACAACTCAGTAGCAAAAACATAAAAAATGCAGTTAAAAAACGGGGAGAGAATAGGAATAGACATTTTTCCAAAATGGGCATACAAATGCACAACGAGTACATGAAAAGGTGCTCGACATCACTAAGCATTAGGCAAATGCAAATCAAAATCATAATGAGATATCACCTCACCCTTGTTAGAATCACTGTTATCAAAACGACAAGAAATAACAAGTGTTGGTGAGGGTGTGGAGAACAGAGAACACTTGTGCACTGTTGATGGCAATATAGACTGGTGCAAACAGTATGGAAAATAGTAGGGAATTTCCTCAAAGAATTAAAAATAGAACCACCATATGACCCTGCAATTCTGCTTCGGAGTATTTATCTGAAGGAAAGGAAAATGCTAACTTGAAAAGGTATCTGCACTTCCGTGTTCATTGCAGGACTGTTTACAGTAGCCAAGACATGGAAGCAAACTATGTGTCCATTGATAGATGAATGGATATAGAAAATGTGATACACACACACACGCGCGCACAAGTATATTCTTCAGCCATAAAAAAAGTAGAAAATCTTGCCATTTGAAACAACATGGATGGACCTTGAAGGCATTATGTTAAGTGAAGTAAGTCAGACAGAAAGACAAACACCGTATGATCTTTCTTACATGTGGAAATGTGGAATCTAAAAAAAAAACAAAATCTCATAGATACAGAGAACAGATTGGTGATGGTGGTTGCCAGAACTGGGGGTGGGGGTGGGGAAAATGGGTGAAGGGGGTCAAAAATTACCAACTTCCAGTTATAAAATAAATAAGTCCTGGGGGTGTAATGTACAGCATGGGGACTATAATTAATAATACTGCATTGTATGTTTGAAAATTGCTAAGAGAGTAGATCTCAAAAGTTTTCATCACAAGAGAATAAAAATTCCAGCTGGCCCAGTGGCATAGTGGTTAAAGTCGGGCATTTCGCTTTGGTGGCCAGGGGTTTGCCAGTTCGGATCCTTGGTGTAGACCTACTCACCACTCATCAAGCCTTGCTGAGGCGGTGTCCCACGTAGAAGAACTGGAAGGATGTGCAGCTATAACATACAACTACTTACTGGGGTTTTGGGGAAAAAAGGGAATAAAAAAGGAAGAAGATTGGCAACAAATGTTAGCTCAGGGCCAATCTTCCTCAAAAAAAAAAAGGAAAGAAAAATTTGTAACTGTGTGGTGATGAATGTTAACTAGACTCATTGTGGTGATCATTTCACAACATATACAAATATCAAATCATTATGTTGGACACTTGAAACTAATATTATGTTATATGCCAGTTATATCCCCATAAAGAAAAAAACCAAATGAACATATTTACCCACAAGGGGCGGGTGGGGCTAGGTTGAAGGAGATACGAGATACTACTAGAAGTATTCCTGTTAGTACAGGTTTAACTTTTGGAATCATCATACAGTTTACATATTTAAGCAAGTTAATTAACAATGATGGAGAAAAAAAGGGAAAAACTCATACTGAATATAAAAACAAAAATATTTGAATATAATTTTATTTAAAATTTTAACATAACCACGGTTTTAAAAAAACAAATTAAGGAAATTAAATAACTTTTTAACACAGTATTTTAACTATATATCATTAGCAGAACATATTTGGAGGGAAAAACAAACTGCTGCAAAGATATTTTGCACTTTATTCAGTAAGTTTGTTTTTGGTAGTGGTGGTGTAACTAATCTGAAACCATTTTCTGCCTATTATAGGATTGAAGAAATGAGTAATATATTGATATCTGGAGGAATCAAGTATTTCACTATGGTAGAAACAAAATACAAATACGAAATGGAAACAGAGAAAAAAGAACATTATATTTTTGGATTGGAATAAGAGATATCATTATTAACTCACAATAATATAATATGATATAATCTATATCCTAATAGCAATGAAAAGGCTGACATCAATAATGGCAGATTCTAGACTGGTGCAGAGGAACTGTAAAGAGCATATGGAACGTTTTGTTGTGTCAATAAGGAAGTGATTAAAAAGATGGGGAGATGTCTACAGCACCCAAGAGCTAACTTGAAGTGTTTTCCCTTAGTCAAAATTTCTAAATATGGGGGAAGTATACATGAATGTTCATTTCATTATTCATGCAAATTGTGTGTCTGAAAATTTTCCAAATAAAAACGTTGAAAACTGTAAAAATCCTTAATACATGAATTAAGACAATTCATATTTACTGATGGAAGCAATGATTGTCACCATTCTTTCATATTATGTTATAATTAAAATGTATGTTATGCTATTTTTACTGTATTTCTGTCTCAAACTTGTCTTTACTGTTTTCTATCTCAAACTTTATAGATTCTGATAGAATTTTTTGGTTCTAAAGTTTCAATTTTTGCTCTAGTGGTTGGCTTTACACTAATATCTTTTATAATGCTTATAGTACATTTTATCTTTATTTAATTTTTTAATTGATTTTTATATGCTATGCTTTCTTCTATTAGCTATACAAAAATAATTGGAGTTTATTCCACTTTTCCTATTCTCTCTTCTTCATCCTCCTCTTTTTAGTTATCTTATTTCTACCTTGCAAAAATACGTGATATCTTCGTGTTATTCTGTTTATCCAGTTTCATTTTTGTCTTTAATTAAAATGTATTCATTCTCACCATCACATCCATCACATATTTTACTAAAGTTTTCTCAGCCATTAATAAGCTTTCTCAGCATTAAGATATGCTTGAAGCATACCTTCTAGTATATTCATCTGCTAGGACTCATGACTACAGCTCTCCCTGAGTTATTTGTGTGTGTGTTTAAAAACTTTACTTTTTTGTGCCGTTTTAGGTTCACAACAAAACTCAAAGGAAAGTATAAGAGATTTCCCATATATCCCCTGCCCCCACACATATATGTCCTGCGTTACCAACATCATTCACCACCAGAAAGATACATTTGTTCCCAAGGATGAACCTATATTGACACATCAGAATCACCCAAAGTCCATAGTGTTTACCTCACGTTCACTCTTGGTGTTGTACATTCTATGGATTTGGACAAATGTATAACGACATATGTTCATCATTATGATACTATACAGAGTAGTGTCACTGCCCTAAAAATCATCTGTGATCTACCTATTTATCCCACTCCCCTCCCTACTCCGGGCAAATAGTGATCTTCTTACTCTCTCCACTGTTTTTGCCTTTTCCAGAATATCATTAGTTGGAATCATAAAGTAGGTAGTTCTTTCAGATTTGCTTCTCTTAGTTAGTAATAAACAGGTAGGTTTCCCCATGTCTTTTCATGGCCTGGTAGCTCTTGTTGTTCCACATTCTGGTCAGCATTTCCTGTCAGTGTTCCGGATTTTGGCCATTCTAATAGATGTGTAGTGGTGTCTCACTGTTGTTTTAATTTGCATTTCCCTGATGACATATGATGTGGAGCCTGTTTTCTTCTGCTTATTCGCTATCTGTATATATTCTTTGCAGAGGTATCTGTTAAGGTCTTTGACCATTTTTTATCTGGCTGTTTGTTTACTTACTGTTGAATTTTTAAGTGTTCTTTGCATATTTTGTATAACGGTTCTTTATCAGCTGCGTCTTTTGCAAATATTTTCTCCCAGTCTGAGGCTTGCTTCTAACTCTCTTGACATTGCCTTTTGAAGAGCAGAAGTTTTTAAGTTTAATTCACTGAAGTCCAGTTTATCAATTATTTCTTTTATGGACCATGTCTTTATGTTGTATCTAGAAATGCATCACCATACCCAAGGTCATCTAGATTTCTTCCCACGTTACCTTCTAGGAGTTTTATAGTTTTGCATTTTATGTTCAGGCCTATGGTCCATTTTGAGTTCATTTTTGTGAAGAGTGTAAGGGTTGTGTCTAGATTCAATGTTTGCCATGTGGATGTCCAGTTGTTCCAGCACTATTTGTTCAAAAGACTATCTTTGTTCCATTGTATTGCCTTTGCTCCTTTGTCAAAGATCAGTTGACTACATTTATCGGGGGTGGGAGGGTGCTATTCCTGGGCTCTCTGTTCTGTTCCGTAGATCTATTTGTCTAATCTTTTGCCACTACTACACTGTTTGACTGTAGGACTGTTTATTAAAACAAACAAAAGGAAAAAAAGCATAAACAAAAATTTGACATCAGAAAAGTGAAAATGTAAGCCACAAAGTGGGAGAATGTAGTTATTGGAAATACAATAATAGTATTCATATCTATAAATATAAAAATGCTAACAAATCAATAGGAAAAGACCTACTATCCAATAGAAAAATGAGGAGGAGACTTTAAATAAACAGTTCACCATATAGGATATACAAGTGACCAATAAGCTTATAAAAATTTGTTTAACCTTGATAACATCGGTAAAATGCAAATTAAAACCATAATGAGGTGTTACCACATCCTACTAGAGTTCCTAAAATTAAAAGACAGGCAGGAAGGTTTAAAAGGATGTTGGGCAAATTCTACTCTCAGAGATTTCTGGGGGCAATGTACGTAAATGGCAAACATTTTGAAAACGATTTGGCATGCTTTCCTATTTGTGGACATAGCAGATCCTGAGACACAACAATTCCGCTACCAGGTACATAATAAACAGAAGCAGGAAATCATACAGATGTTTACTAAAAGGTATGTGCAAGAATGCTCATAGCAACATAATAATCCCCAAAAGGAAACATCCATTAACAGTAGAATAATTGTTGAGATTATTCCACTCAGTTCTTATATCTATAAACTGAGATATAAGAATACAATGGGTAACAAGCAACAACATAAATGAATATTAATAATATTGAAGAAAAGTTGTTGAATATGAAGAGTACACATCATTTGGTTTTACTAAAATAAATTTCAAAAACAGGCAAAACAATTTTGGTATTATAAGTCAGGATAATGGATAACTTTGTGGGGAGAAGAAAATGCAATGACTGAGAGTGAGGTATTAAGGGGGTGTCTGAGATGTTGGCTGTGTTCTATTTCTTGATCTGTTTGAAGGCTACAGTGGTGTTTTCACATTGTTGTAATTCACCAAGTGCTGCACTTATGAATTGTGTACTTTTCTATATTTTTCTTACATTTGAAAATAATATTTATTTTAAAATATTGTTATTTACTTAACAACAGTTAAATGAGAGTTGATGGATCAGAAGTAAGCTGTCTTAAACACATTTTGGTTTGTTTTCTCGAAAAGGATATATAATGATTTTATTTAAAAATACATTCTAATTATTTAAATAAGAACATTAAAATAATGCCAATGGAATGTATAATTTCGACATCAGCAATGAATATAGTGAAACAAAACAAACTATTAATACCCTCAATTATTTTTAATGCATACAGAAGAATGGATTTTTAGTAAAGACCATAAAGTAGTTCATAGAAACCAATAAATACCTATTAGAAAATAATGAAAATTTTTAAAAATTTAATAACATTGGCAGTTAAACTAGACTGTCAGATTGGATTCTCAAAAATCCAAACAAATACTTTTTAATAAAGACATACCCAGAATATAAATATATTAAAAAATTATAAGCAAAAAATAAACAAATATTCCATGAAGAAAGAGTAATATTTTCAACAAATGGGGCTGGGGGGAAAAAATGAATCTAGACACAGACTTTGTGCTTTTCATAAAAATTAACTCAAAATGGATCACAGATCTATATGTAAAACACAAATCTATTAAACTTCTAGAAAATAACCTAGGAGAAAATCTAATTGATCTTGGGTTTGGTGATGACTTTTTAGATACAACATCAAAAGCAAAATCCATGAAAGAAAAAAATTGATAACTTGGATTTCATTAAAATTAAAAACTTTTACTCTGCAAAGGACAGTGTTAAGCAAATGAGAAGACAAGACACAGACTAGGAAAGAATATTTGCAAAACACATATCTGATAAAAGCATGGTATCCGAAGTATACAAAAAAAACCCTGCTTAAAACAACAATAAATAAACCTACTGCCTGATTTAAAAATGGGCAAAAGATCTCAATATCATGTTATTAGGAAATTGTAAGTTAAAACAGCAATGAGATAGTACCACACATATATTAGAATGGCCAAAATGCAAAAGACTGACAATATCAAATGTTGGAAAGTGGAGCCACAGGAACTCTCATTCATTCATTGCTGGTGGGAATACAGAATGGTACAATGGCTTTGGAAGACAGTCTGGCAGCTTCTTACAAAACGAAACATACTCATATCCTATGATCCAGCGATCACTCTCCTTGATACTTACACAAATGAGTTGAAAACATACGTCCACACAAAAACTTGCACGTGGATGTTGATAATGGCTTTATTCATAATTGCCAAAATGTGGAAGCAACCAAGATAAATAAAGAGTAGTACATCCAGACAATGGAATTTTAGTCAGTGCTAAATAGAAATGAGCTATCAAGCCATGAAAAGACATGGAAGAAACTTAAATGCATATATACTAAAGGAAATTAGCCAGTCTGAAAAGGCTACATACGTTGTGATTCCAACTATATGACGTTCTGGAAAAGGGAAAACTATGGAGACAGTAAAAAGATCAAGTGGTTACCAGGGGTAAGGAAGATGACTATGTGGAGCACAGAGATTCTTAGAGCAGTGAAACTACTTTTTTATGATACAGTAATATATCTATACATTAACTATAACTACAAGGTAACTATAACCCACTGTAATGGTGGATACATGTCATTATGTATTTGTCAAAACTCATAGAACGTACAACACAAAGAGTGAACCCTAATGTAAACTATAGACTTTAGTTAGCAATAATGTGTCAATATTGGTCTATCAATTGTAACAAATACACCACACAATACAAGATGTTAAATAGAGAAAACTGTGTGGGGAGAGGGTGTGAGGAAGTATATGAAAACTCTCTGTACCTTCTGCTCAATTTTTCTGTAAATCTAGAACTCTAAAAATAATAAAGTCTATAAATTTTAAAAATTGAACAAATATATACAAGATGAATATGATAGAAAACAAAGCCAGTATAACAGGAGAAATATCAGACAAAATGGGATTTTAAAACACAAAGCATTATTAGAGATTTACTACATAATGATAAAATCTTAATTTGCCTTCTAAAATTATTTGAACTTAATGAAATTACCTCAAAGCACATGGAATAAACATTGTCATTTTACCAGATGACTTTATATATCTAACAGTTTAAAAGGAGATTTAAAAACAGGATTTTAACTTGTTCATACAAGTACAGGAAAACGCTGATAAACATAGGGAAAATTTAAACAACACATAAAGAAATATAAGTTTTGGAACTATGTAGATTATGCTGCCTCCAAATTAAAGAAAATCTATGATTCAAAAGCCCATATGGAACATTTTTAACAAAAGACTTATGAGACCGTAAAACAAGGCTCTACAATTTTCAAAGACCCAGTATTACACAGATAGTGTTCTCTGACCAAAGTGCAAGTCAACTAGAAACAAATTAGAAAAAAAATTACCCATTTGTCTGGAGATAAATAAAAGCACTCTAACTAACTTGTGAGTATAAGGAAAATATCAAAATTGAAAAAGTAAAAGTTCCATCGTGAAAATACTGGGCCAAAAAGAATAATATTTGAAAAGAATTCAGGATTAAATTATAGCAGAGATTAAAGCTAGAGTAAAAGAATGTTGGAAACAATCTTATGCCTATATGTTTGGATTCTTAATCTAAACTGATGAGTTCCTAGGAAAAAAATTTGTCAATGTTTACTGGAGCGAAATACAAAGTCTGATTGCTCTTATTATTATTATTGGTTATTATTACTGGTTGCTCTTATTATTAAACAGAAAAATCAGTAGTTTTAAATGCTCCCACAAAGAACACCCTGGGTTAAAATAGCTTCTCAGGTAAATTCTTGTGATTTTTCAAAGTCAAATCATTCTATTCAAATGTAAATTATTCCCTATGTTACAAGAAGAGTAATACGTCCTGTATTTCGTTAATGAGGCAAATGTAATCTTGGTATTGTGACAGCATAATGACATGATGAGAAAAGAACATTGATGGCCATAAAGAGAGTGGAAAAAATGTTGATATCACACTAATAAAACACATCTAGCTACAGAATTCATATATTTCTATATATCTATATCTATATGATAATATAACCAGTTTGCGTTTATTCCAGTAATGGGATAGTGGCTTAACATAACATTTTATAAATATAATTTGGTTCCAACAGGTAAATGAAAATCAATGTAATCATTTCAAAATGATGGAGAAAAATTATTTGCTGAAATTTATCCCAGAAAACATTTGGGAAATGAGTAATAAAAGAATACTTGTGAACATGGTAAAGGGCACCTTTACAACAAATTGACAGCAAATATCATTCTTAAAGGTGGAATGTTAGAACCATTCCCTTTGGAATTACGAGCAAGACTTGTATTTGAGATTGTACACTGGGAACTACTCAATTCCCCTACAAGAATCAACTCCACAAGGGCTAGAAAGGAAGAACCAGAATGGCCAGGATTCTCTAATGATAGAATTATATCCTTAAACAAGCTAAAATAATCTAAAGATTAATATGCAAATCAATTGACTTTGTAATTACTACCAAAACAACTAAAACTATAATTTAAAATGATAATATTTATAATAATACTAAAAGTTTAGGTACTTAGTAATATGTAAAAATGTATATACATCCTTATTAGAAAAATTAACGTATAATTAAAATCAGTAAAAAAAGGCCTAAGTAATGAGACGTACAATTTCATGGATTTTTATTTCACATAGTTAATCTATAGATTCATTGTGATTCCAAGAAAACCTCAAATCTCAGCAGATCTTTTTTAAAGAATCTTAACAATGGCTTCTAAAATGTGTATGAAAAAAGAAAAGGGCCAAGAATAAATGAGTAGTTCTGAGAAAAACAATACTTGGTTGGAGGTGGGGAGAGACTGT